ACGCCTCAGGGCCTCACCTAAAGGCCCAGTCCCCGGGCTGCGTCAGTCCTGCTCGCACCCTCGCTCCCCCGGGGACGCAGCCACCAACCCCGGCCGAGGACAGCAGCGGTCAGGGCTCCTGGCCCTCCCTGGCTCCTGGTAAGGAACACTTCCGCTATCTCAAAGTTGCCATAAGAAAATAAATACAAGTGACACTGTGCTGGGCCAAAGCTCATTAGTTCGTTGTCCAGGCCTAATAAAGAAACAGAAGCGCAAATTACAGAGTTCAGCTTCAACACACGCTCTGTCACCCGATATCAGCGTACAGCGAGCCTGATTCCAATTGCTCCGAACTTGCTGCGCAGTTCGCCCCCCACCCCCTCCTCGCGAGCAGGAGGTTGGGTGGAAAAATATAGTTCCAAAGGGGGTAATGATCATGCTTTTCCTCTCGGAAGCCTGCGCCACCTCATTTCCCATCAGTAATCCCAATAAAATTAACGTCGTGGCTGCAATTGAAAAGAGGAGGGCCCGCGACACTCCTGAAATAACACACTCTCCCCCAGCAAAAGGTAAAAAGCAAAACGGCCCTTTGTTCAGCTAATTAACGAAGGCCCAACTCCGAAAGCAGATGTGTTTGCTTAGCTAATCACAAGCATGTTTCTTTCAAGGAACGTCATTTCGAGGGGGCCGCTCCGGGGGATGGGAAAGGGGGACACAGCAACCCCCAGGCCCTCTCTGCCTCAGGGGTCCCTTACTCCAGACTAAGATCCAGAGGCTGAATCCAGGCGGCCCATCTCTCACACCTCTCTCCCCCTTGGTCCTACCCCAGAGGCCCACCAGGCACCTCAGCGCTTGCCCAAAGGCCAGGCCTGCAAGATGCAAGAGGGGGGAAATTAAAAGTTTTAATGACATAGATGCTGTATTAAGGCAGTTTTACAATTCACTTTGAATAAGACGCTAACTTATTACAAGTGTGTTATCAGAAGGACGATAAGATTTATAACTCCGAGTCAGCTTTTCGCTTTAATGACCATGGATGTTAAGGAGAGGAAATCTGTCCTCTATTAGAGGAGATGTGAGTCCCTTCCCTGTTTGGGGGCATTTACAAACGCGTCCAGGAGGGCAGATACCAAGCCCCTTTGTGTCTCCTTATGAAAAATTTTCCCTTTCCCCTTTGGCTATGAAACCGGGTCTCCTTGCTGGGTTAGCACCTCACTCAGCTTCTGAGCGAGAGCTTGGGAGAGAGGGAAAAAAAAAGGAGAGAGAGAGAGAGAGAGAGAAGGAAAGGGAGATAGAAATGGGGATGGAAATGGAGGGGGTAGGGGTGTTTCTCAGTCCTCTGGTTCTCGCAGCAAAACTATTTCCCCGTCTTTCTTTGCCATACAAAAGATGGCTTTCCCCTAAACCAACACAGTAAGCAAACTTTAAAAAACTGGGGTCCTATTACAAACCAACGCCCAGCACTAACTGCTTTAAAATTACTGCATAATTAGATTTAGTTGAATTTCACCATTAATTAGGCAGCCGCACTGCGGGGAGCCTTTGAAATCTGAGAAAATGGGAAAAATCATCTGAAGCACGTTTTTTTTTAAACCCAACTTCAATAAATCTTGACGAGGCCCGGAATTCAGAGAGTACCTCGCTCTCCTCCCAGGCTGGCTGAGGGTAAGGGTCTTCAGGCCTGGGCTGGAGCCGGGATTGGACGTAAGGGGCGATTTCCCCGTCGGCTGAGAGCTTGGCCCGGGCCAATCCACTGCCTCTCCAGCGACCCTCACAAGACCCTCTCTGGGCGTCCAGGTCTGTCCCACGGCCGACCTCGCCTCCTCTCAAACCTATTAGATAAAGGGGATCCCCCGTGGCAGAAGCGCTCCTGTCAGGGGTGCCGTCCAAGCCGGCTCACACATTTCTAGGGCCTGCGACCACCCGCCCGGAACCGGTCCTCGGCCCCTGCGTACCCCCAGTCAGCCCTCCCCACGGAAAGCCAGCTTTCCTCTAACTTTGCCATACAAGACAAGCAAGTTGTGATCACGTCCTCCGGCGGGGATCGCGGCCCGGCCCCCATCCCCAGCTCCGGAGGCCCCCATCACAACCCCCAGGCGCAGCCCCTGCATTAATGAGAGCGAGAACTGACCGAGGTCTGCTAATAGTGGCCTCTCCCCCTCCCCCATACCATTTGAACATTTCAGATCTGTTGAGGATACAGACTTTTTGTAAATTGGTTCTTATTGGGAAGAGAGATTTGAAATAAACTCTCCTGGTTATCAGGGGGGAGGGGGCGAGGAGAGACGGGGACACTGGGTTACCAGTATGTTCCCTACCAATTCTGCTGCTTTAATTAGAGAATAATCGAGGATCACACTCAGTCGCCAGCAAGAGTTTAAAAGAGGGTTTTCTGCCTGCAGATGGAATGG